TATAATTCGTTTATTGAAAACTGTTTGATGTGGTATCCGGTAATTTATTCAAATTCTTCGTTTATAGGTACTATTTTGGTAGTTCTGTCGAAATTATTTTTGGACCTGACAATAAGTGAATGAAAATTGAGTGATTTAGTTAATCATTGCTCCATTAAAATTAGGTAGCATGAAAATCTATCCAAAATTATGAAACTATAGATTTATTGTAAATTCTCTTCAATCAGTCAATGAAATACAAATTACAGTCAGTCAGTCAGTTACAACGTAGAACTTCATACGTACATACGACATCAGTTCAAGTTGACATACCACATCGGCAAACAGAGTTGCAATTGTCAATTCAAATCTTGGAGTCGTAGAGTTAGTAGAAGTATTAGCTGTAATAGGAGATATAAGGTACCGAATATATTATTCAACAAGTATAATACAGTGGAATAAACTTAAAAAGAGAAAGATAAAGGTAATTAGTAATTCACAAGGTTAGAATTTGACAGAACACAAAGAATGCATGCACCTGCGTCGTCGCAAACGCTTTACAGTCATGTCATTCAAGATCACTAACCATCGATTACAATCATCTCGCGGATCCCACCCAGGTACCTACCTAACAACACGACTCAATCCACTTGTCAGTGAATTCATGGATTTGCGCCAAGCTTTGGTCCAACTGCCCTTTACACTCTTCTGACCTACTCCTTCACCACAAAACATAGCTCGTTGAGGCAGTCAGCGGTAGGGTTCACGTAAAACATGTACCAATCACCTCAAATGATGAAGTTTCACCACTTCATCTATTGATCTGCCATCCCTACTTAGTACTCGTTTCCTAATGGCAGCATTGCTTATTCGGTCGTCCCATGATGCACGAGCAAAGCTTCAGAGAAACCGATGATCGAAGACTAGTAACCTACGAAAGTCCTCTACTCCTAAAGGCCATATAGTAGGAGGGAGCGAACTGCTGCATGGTACACTCGTCCTTTGGTTAGCAAGTGGATATCTCGCCTGCGCACGTTGGCAAAAGCAAATCGAGCCTTCTGTATCTGAGCTGAGATTTCGCCAGTCACTAAGCCATCAGCACTAATGAGACTCCCAAGATAAGTGAAGCGGTCAACACGTTCGACTACTTCACTCCCTATCGCTAGTTCCGGTGAAGTCGCAACCCAATCCTGAAGCAACATTTTGCATTTCGAGGGTGAGAACCACATCCGGAACATGCTTGCATCGTTGCATAGGGTAGTCAGAAGCCTCTGCATTTTGTCAGCTTCTTCATCAAGTAGAACAATGTCATCGGCATATTCTAAGTCAGCAAGCGTGTGTCTTGGTAGAACTACTCCTGAAAATTCAGACGAAAATAATGTTATATCTAGACGGATATCTATTACAAAATTAAACAAGGATGGGGAAATTGGACACCACTTAAAGTAACTCATTCCGATGACAGTTCGCCATAAGCTCTCACTCAACCTGTAGCGTTAGAGCAGAGAGCTTTTATAAGGTTAATATAATCATCTGGTACACCTTTTAATGACGGACACTGCCACAGAACCTCACGATCAACAGACTCGAATGCCGCTTTAACGTCGAGAAATGCTACTATTGAGGGGTGTCTGAACGTATGTCTTTGTTCTAGGACCTAACTTAGTGTGAACGTTTAGTCTATATATCCACGTCCAGGTGGAATACAAGCCTGGTTTTCTCTAGTCTGCTCTTCACGAGCTTTCGTTAAGCGTTGGAGTATTATTGAGGCCAATATTTTAGAAACAATATTAGTTAGACTGATTCCTCTGTGAGTGTCACGAGAGAACTTTCGACCTTTCTTGAAGACTTGGACAATCAGTAATTGAGACCAGCCCGATGGGATTACGTTCAGTTCCCAGATTCTAACTAAGATCTCAGTTAGTCTAACTGTTAAAACTGGACCACCATCCTTAAAAATCTCAGGAATAAGCCTATCAAGCCCTGCTGCTCTATCTCGCTTTTGATTTCCTATCACTTTTGCTTTCGCCACCCACCACTGTTCACGGTCGTTACGTAGGCTTTTTATAAGTCTGCGCCTAAGCTGACTACAATCTTCATCATGTTCAGAGTCTGAACTGCAGTCAGTGGGAGCGTAGGCAGATACAACGAAGAGACAACAGAGAGTATCCCTATCTTTCCGAGTCCTTACTGTTCCGTTTAGTCGAACAGCGCATAAGTGACTGTCTCCCGGGATCCAGTCTAAGAGAGCTAGTTCTGCCCTACGACTTAATACTATACCTACACCGACGATGCCACGAAAAGCAGCATCAGGGCTTCCAGATAGACGAAGCGTAAACCGAGTTGTTTCTCTATCTGGGGTTTCAGGAGCCCAGGAATAACACTTCGTGAGCTCACATCGTTTGCATTAGCGGTACGGGGAGACAAAGGAATGTGAGAAGTGTTAGTCGTGGAGATAAGAGAGATGTTAGGAGGTGTAGGAAGGATTTGTTTGTGACAGAATTTGTCTCGTGTGCTTTTATGGGTATGAGGGCAGATGTCACTTCCCAGCTGCCCACACCGTGGAAGGACTATGGTTGTTAGAAGGGGCATAGGCCTCGTGATTTCCGAAGGAACTCGGCTTTCATCATGAGACGGCATAACTTTTCTAAATGAAGACCTAACTCCCACGGCAGAGTTTAAATGGTTTGAATTATTTTTTCTTGTTAGCGATATTTTAGCGAGTTAGTTTTCTATGGGATGGGGTCGCCAACGCAAGCTCAACCCTTCTCCTTTATCTGGGCTTGGGACCGGTAGTAGCCCCAGATGGGCTCTAGGAATAAAAATTTCCACATAATCTCACCTTGAAAATGTACCTAAGATTTTCTGCGCTGAACTATAAACTACTTACTTACTTACACCACCGACAAGTTTTCTCCAACTAACTCTCTCCTGGGCTTCCCTTTCCAGTTTAAGTTCATTCTTCTCATATCTCTCTCTGTTTCTCGGCGTAATGTGTTCCTTGGAATTACTCTTGTCCTTTGACCTTGAGGGTTCGAGATGAGGTCTTGTCTTATGACGCAGTTCGGTGCTTTTCGTAGTATGTCCTATCCACTTACACCGTTTCTTCCTCATTGACTCCGCTGGAGTCTGGTTTGTTCTCTCCTAAAGTAAGTTGTTGCTGATATTGTCTGGCCAACGAATCCGAAGTATTTTGCGTAGACAACTGTTAATAAACACTTGTATCTTCTGGATGATGGCTTTCGTAGTTCTCCAAGTTTCCACTCCATACAGTAGAACTGTCTTGACATTTATATCGAAAATCCTGGTTTTGGTGTTGATTGATGTTTGTCTAGAGTTCCAGATATTTTTCAATTGTAGAAATGTAGCCCTTACTTTGCCAATCCGCGCCCTCACTATAAACTACACAGAATCTTATTATTTGAAGATAAATCATACTAAACAACTCTTGAAATTACAGCATACTTTGTGGAGCATTCAAGTCTATGACATAACGGTTGACATTTACATTTTATTGAAATCATGAATCGATCATTGTTAGACTACCAACATTAGAAAAAAACCTAAAAGCACTGAACGGCCGTTTCGTCCTGGTACGGGACTCATCAGTAAGCAGTACGCATTCACGATTCCTGCCACTCACAGGACCCGATCTTGCGCGTGAACGCTTAACCTCTAGATCACCGAGCCAACACATCCAACAGTGTTAATGTATAACACTGATCAATCTAAGGATTATTGCTCTAACTATAACTCATTGTCTTCCATGGGTAACTAACTGGCTACACCCAACACCGTTGAACTCCACGGATCACGCAGCTTCTTACTAGAACTCCGAAACTTTCTTTTCAAAGCTTGTCTAATCTACGTAAGTACATCAGTTCATGTCGCCATAACACATCAAAAAAGAGATGTAATTGTCAGTTCTAATCCAATAGTAGAAAGGTAGTAAACGTATTAGGAGTAATCGCAGAGGTTAGGATTAGAAGAAATTATTCAAGAAGTATGATTCAGTCAGAAAAGTTTAGAAAGTCAAAACTAGAGTTGTTGAAGAACCCAGAAGATTAGGATTTGAGAGAACACAAAGCATAAATGCATCGGCGCCATTGCAAACGATTTTGAGCCATGTATTTCAAGGTCTCTAACCATCGATTATTATCATCTCGCGGACCCCAACCAGGTAGTCGACAATTACCGACATGGCTAAGTCTACTCGTCAATGACTTCATGCATTTCTGCCCGACCGTAGCTGCTACCTTGACGTGGTGGTCGGGCTTGCCTATCGTGATGACCCGACCGAGCTATACTGGCTGGAACATATGTTCCTGCAGGTCCTACCATGCCAGGCTGGTCGATTGGAGAACGATGAGACTAAAAGCAGCTACACAAGGTCTGATGAGGGCGAAGTCGTACTGCTGACTGCAGAGGGGTGTGACAGCAGTAAGGTGTTTCGCTCGAACAACCAGCATCTGCAGTGATGCTGCCTTCTCACAAGGAAGGAAGGGTTATAAAAGGTCGGCCCTAAAAATGTCACACCTCCCCTAACTCACGGATTTCCGTCTCCTTGGGTAAGGGTGCCCACTAAGGACCTTTAAGAACGGAGCTAATCCTCTAAATACCTTTCAAAAAAAGGCCGTGCGTAACCGGCCTCAAGCAGTTGTCCCTTGGACTGTGCGGTCATGCTCCCAGGTCTCCAAGACCAACACTAATCTATCCTCCTTTTATCAGGTCCCTCAAGAATCAACCTTCCACAGTGTGGGCAGCCGGGAAGTGACAACCGCCCTCATACCCGTAACAGCACGAGAGACCAATCTGGTCGAAATCAAATCCTTCCTACACCCACACATACCTCTCTTATCTCTACGACTAACTCACCAATCTATAATAACATTTAAATATTAGAGAATGTTGCAATTAACACTCAGCTAATCACTTTATTTCAAAATAACTAAAAGGCAGACAGATTACTTGGTCACCAAAAATTTCACTCAGGTACAATATCTCCAGTAATTATATTTATATAACAAGTTTATATTCATTTTTACACACTTTTTATTTTAATTTTTTTCGTTAAAAAAAAGAAGTGAAAAGTCATTTATTTCAAAATGTGTAAAAATTTGTATGAAAGAAAGAGATAGAGAGAGTGACAGATGAAAGAAATTATACAATAACATTTTAAGATTTACATTTCATACACAACAATAATTACAATAATTATACATGATTTGTAAACACTGTAAAATTACGATTAATTTTTGGTCGTTTTTTGATGGACTGCAAAGATTGATCAGTATTATTATCATTAGTAGTATTAGTAGTATTAGTAGTAGTATTAGCATGATTATTCAAAGCGAAATCTTCTATTGAATGAATTGATGACACAGTTTTACTCACATTATCTTTTGGTATCTGTTCATTGGACAAAGTGTTACATACAGATTGATTATTGATTGAATTTGTCAATTTAACTGATGACTTTTTCGGATATATCACAGTGAGATTATGTTCATTGGAAGGTGAATTAGAAGTTTTAATCGAACAAGAAGGAGTGAATCGTTTCACATCATAAGTGATAACAAGATTATCTAAATCATTGGCAGTTCGTTTACGTTCATTGGGTTGATTTGAGTCGGATTTTTTATTTGGCAAATCATTACTACTAACAATAGTATTATTAGTAGTATTATTATCATTACTAAAAGTATCAACAGATGTAGGTGCAGTTAATTCATCATTTGTAATCCATTCATCACGATTATATTTTGGCATAAGATGATCATAATACAGATTAACAATCTGTTCCAATGTATTCACATTTGATACCTAGTTATTTTTTTTATCAAATAAACCAACCACCAACAAACAAGTGAGAAGAATTAAATGAGCAGTTTTTATTACTATTATTAGTATCTATAAACAACAACACAATGTGGTGTTATGTTATAATTAAAAACTTAAAGATAATAACTTTGAAATGTGGAAACAAAAACTAGCTTGCCATGAATGGGCCGCTGACCAACATACTCTAACCTAATCTGTTTGGGGCTTTTCTTTCTAGTTTTGTCCAATTGTTATTCATTCCTTTTTTTATGTCTATCTCCGTTTCTTCATGTATTGTGTTGTTTGGTCTTTGTCTTCGCCTTTCACTTTGAAAGGCTTAAGTGAAGGCTTGTCTTATGATGTAGTTGGTTGCTTTCTGCAATGTGTGTCCTATCCACTGCCAGTGCTTCTTCCTAATTTCTTTGTTTGCTGGTATCTAGTTTGTTCTCTCCTATAATAGGTTGCTGCTGATGGTATCTGATCAACGGATCCTTAGTATCTTGAGTAGATAACTGTGGATAAACACCCCAGCATCTTTCAGATGATGGATTTCACGGTTCGTCAAGTTTCTGCCCCATACATATTTGTATCCAAAATTCTGACTTTAGTGTTGGTTGATAGTTGCTGAGTTTCAAATGTTCTCCGATTATACTGATGCTGTCCAGTTCGCGCCTTTAAATCTGCATCAGATCCAACTTGCTCACCGAATCCGTCTGGAACCCGTTCGAGGTAACTGTGGGTCCTAAGAGCGGATGAAGAAAACATACTCGCTAAAAAAACGCCACTCGGTGAGCCTTTGATCTACAGGTCTACTTCACAAGACAGTGGAGCAACATCACTAGAGGTAGCCAGTAGCTGTCAGTCAGTCAGTCAATCAGCTACAACGCAGAACTTCGTATGTACGTAAGACAGTTCAAGTTGCCATACCACTTTATCACAGATAGCTGCGACTGTCAACTCGAATCCCATATAAGTAAAGATAGTAGACGTATTAGCAATAATCAGAGAGATTAGGGTTCGAAGATATTATTCAACAAGTATAATTCAGAGGAATAAACTTAAAAAGAGAAAGATAAAGATGATGAGGAATTCAGAAGATCAGAATTTCAGATAACACAAAGAGTGGATGCACATGAGCCATTGTAAACGATAAAGGTGATGAAAAATCCAGAGGATTAGGATTTGAGAGAAGTCAAAGAATGGATGCACCTGTGCCATTGCAAACGATTTTGAGCCATGTCATTCAAGGTCTCTAACAATCCGTTTCTATTGTCTCGCAGATCCCAACCAGTTAGTCTGCACTTACCAAAATGACTCAGTCCACTTGTCAGTGACTTCATGGATTTCTGCCACGTTTCGGTTGGGCCGCCCCTAACTTTCTTCCAACCTACTCCTAAACCACAAAACATAGCTCGACGAGGCAGTCGGTGGTTGCGCATTCGTAACACACGTCCCAACCACCTCAACAGATGGAGTTTCATCACTTCATCTATTAATCTGTCATCCTTACCTAGTTCAAGTTCCTGAACATGCTTGCATTGCTGCTTAGGGTAGTCAGAAGACTCTGTATTTTGTCAGCTACTTCACCAAGTAGAACTATGTCATCGACATACTCTAAGTCAACAAGCGAGTCTCCTGGTAGAAGTTACACCACTGAAAAGTCAGACGAAGATATTGTCGACTCTAAAAGCATGTCTACGACATAGTTAAACAAGAATGGAGAGAGTGAACAGCACTGACGGATACCATTAAAAGTAATCAATCCCGATGACGATTCGCCATAAGCTCTAACTCGACCAGTGATGTAAGAGTAGAGAGCTTGTATAAGTTTAATATACTTCTTTAGTACACCTTTTAATGACAGACACTGCCACAGAACCTCACGATCGACAGAGTCGAATGCCGCTTTAAGGTTGAGAAACGCCAGTAGCTAACAGTTAATTCGTACGTCATTCCTTCCTTGACGATTCCATACTTAAATCTAAGACTCTGTTCTGAAACCAGGCTAAATTTATATTAGTTGTAGTATCAGTAGATGTGGGATTTATTAGACTTGATAATTAACTTAAATTTAAGGGGTAGAGATATGACAAATGTACACTCTAGATATTCATAAGTTGAAAATCATTCTTAGTACTAGTAAAATTAAGAATAGAAATATATTTCAATCTCTATCAGTAATAATAATGTGTACTTATCACTATTTTCTATGTCTAAAATGAGATTACTGATTCTAAACGGATACAATACATAATCGGAATAAATCAAACTTGACTCACTAAAGATTTGAAACCACGACGTTCAAAAATTTCTAGCAATTGATCTATTGACATTTCTTCTGGACTATATAAATCAACAACAACTCCACATTTTGGTAAATATTCTGAAACTTTTGGTTTTGATTCACTTTTATCTTCTTTTTTCATTAGGTCTAAAATATGAACAGCAAAAACTCTTTGGAATATCATTGAGTACTAATGATGACATATATGAAATGATCTCTCAATAAGGTTAACACTTGATTGGGGAGTCTTACAAGAGCTGATGACCTGGTGACTGACGATAACCGCAGTACGGATACAGAAGGCTCGATTGGCTTTTTCCAACTCGCGTCAATTATGGCGAAAGAGTGATATCCGTCCGCTAAAAAAAGGACGAGTGTACTGCGCAGCTATTCGCTCCGTCCTACTATACAGATGCGAAACATGGACATTGAGAGTAGAGGACATTCGTAGATTGCTTGTCTTCGATCATAGGTGTCTCCAAAGCATTGCTCGAATATCCTGGGACAACTGAGTACGCAATGCTACAGTTAGGAATCAAGTATTAAGTAGGATGGCAGATCCATTGATGGAGTAGTAAAACTTCATCAGCTGAGGTGGTTGGGACATGTGTTACGAATACCCAACCACCGACTGCCTCGACGAGCTATGTTTTGTGGTGTAGGAGTAGGTTGTAAGAAAGCTATGGGCGGCCAAAGCAAAACATGACACAAATTAATTAAGTCACTGACATGTGGACTCAGTCATGTTGGTAAGTGTAGACTATCCGGTTGGGTAGTAACTGATGGTTAGAGACCTCGAACGACATGGCTCACAATCCTTTGCAATGGCTCAGGTGCATCCATTTTTTGTGCTATTTCAAGTCCTCATCTTATGAATTCACCACCTCTATTTTTCTCTTTTAAAATTTATTTCACTGAATTATACTTCTTGGATAATTTCTTGGAAGCCTAATCTTCTCCATTACCAGCAATACTTCTACTATCTCTACCACTATGGGATTTGAATTGACAAATGCGTCTCTGTGTGCTAATGTGTTATGGCAACCTGAACTGCTGTGTGTAAGTACGAAGTTCTACGTTATAACTGACTGACTGACTAACCCCTGGTTGATTTCAATACATACTCCTTTCAAGAGTTAGGAATGTAGCCAACTAAATGTATTGATTTTCAACCTCAGGCTACATTTATAGTTATATGAGCTGATAATAATATTCATGGTGATTAGCCAGAGTCAGTGAAGTAAAGATATAATAGACAACTGAATGATTGAAAGTTGATTATTCCAATTAGCAATCGATTGCTATATCCTGAGATTCATAAAATATAAATAAATAAGTACCAAGTTAAAAATTTGATGGTATAATCTGATGTACGTCGTTGTCAGTCAGCTACAACGTGGAATTCCATACTGAACAGATTGAATGGAGATTGAGGTGGAAAGAGATGGGTTTTATTCATAGAACCTAATAAATTAAAAGTGACATTTAGTTTAACAATAGTCTTTCCGAATATTATTTCCCTCTGAAGTAGCATTAAGGGCGCAGTTTTCTTCAGTTACGCATTGTAAATCTAATGTATCCGTTGAATAGTTTGTAGTAACGTTTAATACAGACAAAAAAGAAAAATTGGGAATTTCATTGATGCTACCGAATATGAAATTACCCGTTTGTTTCTTAACTAGTGACATTTAAGAACATACATTTTTATCATAGGAATTATTTTAAATTACAAGCATAAACAGCGCGATAATAAATTCTCTTTCTGAAGAAGATGTCTGGTATTACGGTAAATTTATTTACCTTGGCTTGAGATTGCTCATATCTGCTGAGTTTAAGAAGCCAGTCATTTTTATAGTCTACATAGCACCTGTTTCAGTGTTTTTCGTGAAACTATTTAAGAACAAAGTTGATGAATTCAATTTTGTTTGGTAGACTAAAGGCAACAAAATTCCGAAACCTAAGAACAGTAACTCATGAAGTTTTGCGTCCGTTTTTGTCTAGAAAACTTTAGCCAATAAGTCTCGCAGTGTTAGATTGTATATTGATAAATTTTACGGCATAATTATTCTGTGGCTGTATAATAGATATTTCACGAGAACAACTGAATGAGTTATATGCAATTTCTTGAAAAAGAGCTCAAGAAGAATTCTGAAAACCGTCACATCTTAAACTTTTCATCATCATCATTCGGTAAGCGAATTACGCCGTTCCGATGTCAATTAATATTGATTTCTAACTAGAAAATCGGACTAAAACACCCTACAGAATGTTAATTTTGCATATCGCGAGAAACACACCATTAATGCATCTATCCATTTGGCTGAATAACACTAAATGACCTTCATATATTGAAAACTAATGAAAAAGTTTTGTAATGCTACACTACTTCCTACTACATTGATAAATTACCGATTATTGAGAACAAGTTTAGTAATGCACTTTCAAGGTCATGATTTGAAAACCTCAAGTTCGTTTCAATGTGTTTAAACCACTCCTGTTTCCAGGAAGCAAGCTTAGAAAAGAGAAGTCTAATTCTCGATTGTTCCTACCGAGACACCTGATAATTAAAGGCAGAGTTTAGTTTATTTTCGTCATTGTTGAGGCGCAGGTATACAGTTTCTTGAGCTAAGCTTAGCTCTGTTGAGGTGAATAGGGTTTTTGCGTCAAAATATATCATCATATCTCCGTTATCAATTTGAATCGCTTTGAGTTTATCCAAGAATTGGATGTTTTGGTTGTGAGGATTTCATTGTTCTTCTGAACAACATCATCAGCACAAACTTCTGAGAGGTAGATTTTTTTCTGTTGTTTGTGCTGATGATGTTGTTAAGACGGACAACGAAAGCTCTATAACGAAAACATCTAGATTTGAGAGTAAAACTGCACCTCAATCATCCACCTGGGCTACAAATGTTTTTCACCATCTCAGAATCATATGAGTATGACATGCTTATTGTTACTCGAAAATGAGAGAATTTCTCCAAAAGGCGAATTTTCACTCGACAACAGATCAACTTTCTTCAGAAATGTCTTTGTCAGTATTTTTCGCGTCTTCCTCAGTATCGTTTACAATATCTATCAAAACCAGTTTCTAAACGTGTTGCCTAAATGTGTCACGAGAGGTGAAGTTTAATAAACACACAATTCCATGGCTCCGCATAACTACTTGTTGCCTAACTTCATATCAAAGTGTGTAATTTTGCCTGATCTAGCGCACAATGGACGAAGCCAGGGAAGATATAGTCATAGTTCCAGCGGACAAAGGACGCACGACAGTAACCATGGACAAGGAGGAATATATCAAGAAAGCCGAGGATGTATTTCAGGACAGAAGCGTCTATAAACCACTAGACACAAACCCAATAAAAGGTTGAACAATCAAATCTCAAGGTCTCTAAATAGGCTTATCAAAGCAGGACAGATATCAAAACAAGATCAATGGAGAACGAAATCCAATGGACCAATAATTTCACGATTCTTCGGTAGGCCGAAACTCCACAAACCCTATACCCCACTACGTCCTATCGCATCCCTCCCCGGAACCCCGACCTACAACTTATCAAGAGGAATTTCAAGGATATTAAAACATCTGGTGGATAAATCCAACTATTCCATTAAGTCTGCCACACAATTCTTGGATAAACTCAAGGGGATTCAAATCGACAAGGACGAAACCATGATATCCTTCAACGTAACAGCCTTATTTACCTCAATACAGCCAAGCTTAGCTAAAGAAACTTTTTTATGCTCCTCATCAACGACACAAATCTACACAAATGTACAAAGCTTCAGAATCAAAGTCTGCTTGAACTCATCGACCTATGCTTAACAACGTATTTTCAATTCAACAACAGAGTTTATGAACAAATAAAAGGAACACCAATAGGATCACCAACATCAGGACTCATCGTCGAAGCTGCAATGCAGAGACTGGAAGCGTCGATTTTGCCAATGATCAAGACAAAAATGTCGGTTTGCTATGTAGACGACAGATTTGTCATTATCAAAATGAATGAGCTGGAGAACATTTACAATCGGATCAACAACGTCTTTGATCACATCGAATTCACGATGGGAAGGGAATCAAACAACAGCCTATCATTCCAGGATGTACTAATCACCAGAACTAACACAGGAAAACAGAAACTCAATTATTCCGGAGGCCAACCCACACAGACGTAATTCTCAACTACGGTAGAAACAATCCAAGAACCCACAAAATCAACTGCATACAAACGTTGTTCAAGAGAGCTAAGACACACTGCTGCACACGTGAGGCACTAAAAAACGAGGAAAAACATCTTATGACTATCTTCCAAAAAACGGCTATCCACGCAACTTCATCAAAAAACATCGACCGAAACCGTCAACCGAACCGAAATCAAATACAGGAACCAATAAGACGGAACATCCTACCATACATCAAAGACATATCCAAACACACAGCACGACTACTGAAACCAATTGGAATAGGTGTGGCACACAAACCGACAGAGTCACTTCAGTCAATCCTATGTAGACCAAAGGACAAAATGACAAAGGAAGAAAAACCAAATACCATCTACAAAATAAATTGTTCAGACTGTGAAAAACATTACATAGGACAAAGTAGACGTCCTCTCCAGCTTCGTTTACGTGAACACCAATTAGCAGTCAAACGCCACGACAACGCTTCGCTTATATCAATACATACCGACAATTATGGACATACATTCGATTGGGACAATGTGGAAATACTGGATAGTTTGAGGACAAAGAACACTAGAGAATTTTTAGAAACTTGGCACTCAGGTCAATCAGCAATCAATAAAGACATCGACATTGACCCAATTTATCAACCAATCAGAAAAATCATAGGGCACATAGGATCAAGAAACAGTTCAGAAAGGTGATACAATCAAAACAAAGGTGCAAACAACCACAGGTTTAAGGTCAACAGCAACCAATCAAGGTCGCGTTTAGTAGAACAAGCTACAGGTCAAACGTGGAGAAATTCGAATACTTCACTTCTATCTGAAGTTTGTGCTGATGATGTTGTTCAGCACGAGAACAATGAGAGCTCCACAACCAAAACAACCAGCTCAGAGAAAGAAACACCACCACAACCAAAGTCAAAATATTGAATAAACATATCAACACCATTCTACTGTATGGGCCGGAAACTTGGAGAACTAACTAAGCCAACATTCCGAAGATATAAGTATTGATTAACAGTTATCTACGCAAATTCAGATCCGTTGGCCTGACATCATCAGCAACAACCTACTGTGAGAGAGAACAAATCAGATTCCGGCGGTGGAGGAAATCAGGAAAAAGCGATGAGAGTTGATAGGATAGGCTAAAGAACACAATGCGCCAAGAAATAAAAAGAATGAACAAAAATAGGAAAGAACTGGAAAGGGAATCCCATGGCAGAGTAGGTTGGAGCAAACTGGTCGGCGGCCTATGCTCTATCGTCAATAAGAGGCGTAAGTAAGGAGTTATCAAGACGGCGACTCAAAACATCACATTAAACACCACCTCCAATGCCTCTGTATTCACTAGTATGTTTAATATCTGAATGAACCAGAGAATCAGGAATAAAGGTAAATTGTTTTAGAATTATAAAATAACCAAATCTGTCACTAGAAACTCCTCCAAATTCTATATGACTTAGGTCAGAAATAGTGTCTGAAAGTAAAGCGTTAAAATCGGATGTTTTACTACGCGTGCTATAGGAGCCTATCTTGAACACATCATGGATCACAGGAGTACCAGTCGGACCTGAAATAGGCCACAACTGTTGACTAGAGCTACAACTAAGAGAAAAAACGTAGCTTGAAGCAACTTACATGCATGAAATAGGACTCTAAAATAAGTGATAATGTGCCAACATGACGAAAGGATTTCAGTAAGCAAAAGCTAAAACAAGTGGACGACCAGGTATCTCAATTTTACACAATATTAAAAACAGGAGTAATTCAGCACTGCAAATTAAGATATTTTGTTTCCTTATATTTACAAACGTATCTGAGAATTATGAAAGCTTACTCTCATCGTCGTACTTGACACACATCTGGCTACGAATTTCCCCAAATTGTTCACATCCTGGGGAAATATGGAGACTTTTCATCTAAATAGTCTAATCGGGTGTAAACTAGATGTGTCACCTTCATTTCCCCATTCTTGTTCAATCATGTCACTATAACACACCAATGCGAACATGTGTATGGAATATACCAGTTTGTCCTACGTTTCACTTGATACGTTCGATACATTGGGAAGATCACAGATCTTACCAGCAGCCTATCGAATCTTTCATTTGGAAAATGTTCGTAAAAATCAACAAAGGTTGTGGCGAAATCGGCGATTTGATTGAATGATAACGCACCTGCCGCCTTATTTCTCATTGTAAACAGATACAGACCTGGTTTGCATTATTTCTTAATTACAAGTTGTTCTTATTAGTACTGAATGCATAAGGCGTGCTACCTCCAAGTTGTACATTCTATTTTAAATACCATTTATTTTTATGCGTCGAAATCTTTCTTATTTCTATGAAGAACATATCTCGAAATACCGAAGCCAGAGAAAATTATTACAGTAAATGTTTCCAGCAGGCTGGTGGGCCGCCTGAAACATACAATCATAAGGAAATACATTATTCTTACTAATTTCCTCCGAAATCTTGAGTAGCGAGTTAAGGGACTGTTTATGTTAATCGCATACAACCTGATACATAAAATATATGCCCTACAGACCCCATACATCAGTTGAGCAGTGTGGGAACTGATGTTTTCATACATGGCCATTCCGTAATGTAAACGAGACCTCCCACTCGTTCCTTACCTGTCGTCGATACATTTTTAGCCAACTGTACCTAATTTTTCATAAAATAGTCTACACTGTTCTTACAACATCAAGTGATCCCAAGTACGCGAAAACTATTTCAATGGGAACGTGATAAATAGCAGATACTGCCAGTTAACAGGTGTACTGAATCTGCATTTATGTCATGGAAGAAAACAATGCGTGGTAGACTTAGTGAGAATCCCAGAGTAGTAGCAGAGGTGCCGTCTGGAGATTTATGTACCCGGCACTACCACGGTAGAACCTTCAACTGCATAATAACGAGAAATATCAAGTGACTCCACCAGTACCAGAGTTTCAGTTTACAGTTGGAATACTATTGGTTAGATATATATCCCCAATTTACTACCCGACTTTTCCTACATGCGCGCTACACCATATGCGGTTTGATCACTATAATTGCCAGATCATATCCTTATAGGAATTAGAAGCCTATTTCACTTTTAGCTTTATTTCAAGGATATGGCTTACTTTCCAAACGTAAGCTTCGAACTGACATCAGGGCTTTTCGGTGCACTTGAAGTACAGACACGGTGCAAATCGACGTTTGTGCAGCTATCTAGTAATAGCTAAGTGATTTTAAACAAACTTCGTCATTAGGTTCCAGGATTTTGAATGACTGTGTTGTTGTATTAAGAGTTGTCATCAAAATTTCATGTTACTTAATTATGAATCAAGGTTTGATGCGATTATCAACCTTTTAAAGAATAAAATAAGTCACTTTGTGGAAAATATATATATATATAAATAGTAAGTCATATTTGACAAAATATAAAACTTTACAAACGGATTATTACAATGTTACGTTTTACTATTAACCAAACCAAATCGTGCTTGACGTTTAGATAATTTTTCAGCATCCGACATACTGTTGTTGTTGTTGTTGGTGGTGGTGGTGGTGTTATTACTGGACAAAACTAAACCAAATTTCTGTGCACGAAGAGACTTTGCTAATTCATCATTCATTTGTGTGTTTCCTGATGACAGTGGTTTACCAAACTTTTCCAAACGTTTAGCTTTACGCTCCAAATCGGTTAACTACAATGTATTTTTCAAAAGAAAAAGAACATTATTCACAGACAACATAAAAGTTAAAGTACCCTGAGTTTCTGGTTATATAACAATCACAAGTCGAGCAAATTATATTAACATCAGACTTGCCCTAATCATCATAAATACGCAAAATCCAAATTACTACACACTACTTTTTTATACGTACGTGTTCGCTATCTTTCAGTCTGATTACTAGTTTCGTGTTGATAGCAATGGAATTCAGGGTGCATGTTTCATTTTATTTCGGACAAATCAACTGGGTGTACATGCATTCACCTTTTAATGATTACGTTAGGACTCAAACCTAGTACATCTCATTTTGGAAGCCAACGCGATATTCACTAAGCCTACTGAGGTCACATAACCATGAACTTGTTTGTTCAACGAGTATAGTATTGATATCATTATTAGTAAATGTTTGGATCATTCTGTTCCTTATAATTAGGACTGCATTTTTTACTTGCATCCTATATACAGTGCCTTAACCCTATCAGACTCGCAACAATCTAGCTGAATTGAAACCGTTTGCATATAATCCATTCATCCAAAAAAAAGTACCGATCAACAACCGGATTATTCAAACATTTACTAATCATGCAATAAGCATCACAAGTGTTTATGCACTTATGTATGATAAATAGTATGATTTGAAGCAATATTTGACTGTGATTAATGATTGCTGGGAATTTCGAAACTATAGTAAATGTAGATTTAGAATTGTTCAATCAATCACAGAACGGTATGTAAGACATGCTTACATTAGAGTATGTCAGTTCTTTCATACATTGTAAATTATTGCATGATATATATATTGATTAGTGTCAACACTGATTAATATTAATCAGTAGTGTGAATAAGTAGAATAGAAATACCTGATAAATTCTACAGCCCTTTATACGGAAAAATATGGAATAAACAGAATACTAAATAATGCCACTAAATGACTTCAGTTTTATCATACATGAATTATGATATTCTTACTGTGTATACCAGTAACTCCGCCAGTAGAACCTTAGGGGCTACTGCCGGTCCCAAGCCCCGATAAAGGAGGAGGGTTGGACATGGGGTTGACGACCCCATTCCGTAAAAAACTAACTTGCCAAAAAAACGCTAACCAGAAAAAATAATCCAAACCATTTTAACTCTGCCCCGGGGAGTTGCAAGAATAATTATGACGTCGCGTGATGAAGGCCGAGTTCCCTCGGAAGTCACGGGGCCGATGCCTCTTCTGACAACCAGAGCAACCATTTTCTTTTAGGTAAATGGAACGTTCGTACATTGTGGGAGACTGGAAGACTACTTCAAGTTGCGGCAGAAATGAAAAGATACAACCTCGAGGTGCTCGGCATCAGTGAAACACATTGGACACAGGTAGGACAACTGAGACTAGCTTCAGGGGAACTGCTGTTAGACTCTGGTCATGAAGAGGAAAATGCTTCACATACACAAGGAGTTGCACTGATGCTGTCCAAACATGCACATAAGGCACTGATAGGATGGGAATCTCATGGACCGAGGATCATTAAAGCATTCTTTAAAACAAAGAAAGAGGACATTACAATGAACGTCATCCAATGTTATGCACATACCGACGACTACAATGACGACGATAAAGATCAATTCTATGAAAGGCTGCAGTCAATCGTCGACAGATGCTCACCAAAGGATTTGACGATTCTCATGGGAGACCTTGGATGCAAAAGTTGGCATGGGCAACACTGGATATGAAGACATCATGGGACGACATGGACTGGGAGAATGGAACGAAAACGGTGAGAGATTTGCAAACCTATGTGCCTTCAACAAACTGGTCATCGGTGGCACAATATTCCCACACAAACGCATACACAAAGCCACATGCATTTGACCGGATCACACTACTCAAAACCAAATACACCATATCTGTATCAACAAAACGTTCAGAAGGAACATGGAGGATGTGAGAACAAAAAGAGGAGCTGATATAGAATCAGATCACCACTTTTTGGTCGCTAAAAAATAAACTGAAACTCAAGAAACACTGGAAAACGGGGCAGATAACATCACACAAGTTCAATACAGCCTTACTTCGGGATACCGTAAAACTCAACGAATTCAAGATAGCCCTCACTAACAGGTTCCAGACCTTGCACGATATATTCAGTGGAGTGGACGCAACATAGGAGAACAATTGGAAAGGGATTAAAGAAGCAATCACTCAAACATGTCACGAAGTTCTGGGTCACAAGAGGTACCATCATAAGGAATGGATCTCTGTTGATACTCTTGCAAAAATTCAAGAAAGGAGGAACAACAAGGCAGCAATCAATGTCAGCCGAACAAGAGCAGAGAAAGTTACTGCACAAGCTGCATACCCAGAAGCAAACAGGGAAGTGAAGAAGAGCACCAGAGCTGACAAACGAAAATATGTGGAAGATCTAGCAATGACGGCGGAAAAGGCTGCAAGACACGGAAATTTGAGACAATTGTACGAAACAACAAAGAAGCTGGCCGGAAACTATCGTAAACCAGAACGACCAGTGAAAAGCAAGGAAGGCAAGGTAATCAGAAACACTGAACAACAGCGAAACAGGTGAGTAAGACACTTTAAGGAACTCTTGAATCGACTAGCGCCACTGAACACACCCAATATCGAAGCAGCATCCACGGACCTCGCAATTAATATTGGCGCACCTACGATTGAGGAGATCAGTATGGCCATCAGACAGATCAAGAACGGCAAAGCAGCAGGACCAGACAACATTCCAGCAGATTCAATGAAAGCAGACACGGAAGCAACTGTAAAATTATCTCACATTCTCTTAAACAAGCTTTGGGATGAAGAACAAGTACCATCCAACTGGAAAGAAGGATACCTGATCAAAATACCAAAGAAAGGCGATCTCAGTAAGTGTAAGAACTACAGAGGCATCACTCATCTCTCAATACCAGGCAAAGTCTTCAACAGGGTATTGTTAAACAGATTGAAGGACTTCCTTCGTAGACGTCCAACTTCGTGATCAACAGGCCGGATTTCGTAAGGATCCATCGTGTACTGACCAAATTACAACATTACGGATCATTGTGGAACAATTAATGGAATGGGACTCACCACTCTACATCAACTTCATCGACTACGAGAAAGCATTCGATAGAGTGGACAAGAAAACACTGTGGAGGCATCTTCGACACTATGGTGTGTCTGAGAAAATAGTTAACATCATACAAAATTCTTATGATGGATTCAACTGCGAATTCGTGCACGGATGACAGCTAACAGACTCTTTCGAGGTGAAGACCGGTATCAGACAAGGTTGCTTACTCTCACCCTTTCTCTTTCTCCTGGTCATCGACTGGATTATGAAGACGTCGACATCTGAGGGGAAGCACGGTATTCAGTGGACAGCTAGGATGCAGCTGGACGATCTGTACTTCGCAGATGACCTAGTTGTTCTGTCACACACGCGACAACGCAAGCAAGAGAAGACGACCAGTGAAGCAGCAGCTTCTGCAGCAGTAGGTCTCAACATACATAAAGGAAAAAGTAAAATTCTCCGATGCAACACAACATGCACCAACCAAATCACTGTTGATCGAGATGCCTTGGTAGATGTTAACACTTTTACATATCTGGGCAGCATCATCGACAACCATGGTGGATCCGATGCAGATGTGAGGGCGCTGATTGGCAAAGTAAGGGCTGCATTTCTACAGTTGAAAAATATCTGCAACTCCAAACAACTTTCAACCAAAACCAAAATCACGATTTTCAATACAAATGTCAAGACAGTTCTACTGTATGGAGCGGAAACTTGGAGAACTACGAAAGCCATCATCCAGAAGATACAAGTGTTTATTAACAGCTGTCTACACAAGTTACTTCGGATTCGTTGGCCAGACACCATCAGCAACAACGTACTGTGGCACAGAACAAACCAGTTTCCAGTGGAGAAGGAGATCAGGAAGAAGCGTTGGAAGTGGATAGGACACACACTACGAATAGCATCTAAGTGCGTCACGAGATAAGTCCTCACATGGAACCCTCAAGGCAAAAGGAAAAGAGGTGGGCCAAGGAACACATTACGCCGAGAAATAGAGAAAGATATGAGAAGAATGAACAAACATTGGACAGAACTGGAGAGGGAAGCCCAGGACAGAGTTGGTTGGAGAAAATTTGTGGACGGCCTATGCTCCATTGGGGGTAACAGGCGTAAGTAAGTATACCAGTAATTCAAGACCTATTTCATCTACTCGAATAGGTTTTTAAACAATATTTAAGAAATCAGAGAGAGTGATACATTACCACGAATCAAGAAGATCACGATTTAAACGGTGGATATATATATATATATATATATATATCAGGAGATTATTGACTGCAGTAAATGGTCAGTCAACAACAACACAGAACTTCGTACGTATATAAAGATGAGTGGGCATTTAGAAGATTATAATTTGAGAGAAGAAAACGAATGGATACATCTGCGCCATTGCAAGCGATTATGAGGCATATCATTCAAGGCCTCTAACCATTGGTTACGATTGTCTCGCAGACCCCAATCAGGTAGCTCGCATCTACCAACATGACTCAGTCCATTTGTCTGTGACGTCATGGATTTGTGCCATGTTTTGGTCTGACCGCTCCTAGCTATCTTCCAGACAAGATCGCTCGTCGAGGCAGTCGGTTGTTGGGCATACGTAGCACATGCCCTAACTACCTAAACTGATGAATACTCAATACTTGATCAATGGATCTGCCATGCTTACCTAGTACTCATTTACTAACACTAGCATTGTTTACTCGATTGTCCCAGGATATACAAGCAATGCTTCGGAGACATCTATAATCGAGTACTAATAGCGTACGAAAATCCTCTACTCTTACTGGCCATGTTTCACAGCCATAAAGTAGGACAGAACGAACTGCTGCATAGTAGATCCGTCGTTTGTTTAACAGACGGATATTTCGGGTAAGCCATAAATGACGCAAGTCGACAAAAGCCAGTCGAGCCTTCTGTATCCATGCTGAAATTTCGTCCGACACCGCACACTTAAGCAAATGGACTGGAACCTCTATATTTCGTTATTTAAGTTAATTGAAATAATTACAAACAGTATCATCATTATGATTAATTTGACGTTTGACAATACAGCTTTCTATACGATTATTTTTTCTTTCATTGTGTATAAATAATTTCATGAGGTTTGTTGGAAGAGTGTATACTAGACGATTCAAAGTGATGAGGAGAAACATAGAATTCAAATCCTTCATATGAAACGCCTGTATAACTAACGAGTAGAATCACAAGTTCATATCATGACCTAAATTTACTACTACTACCCCAAATACCCTGGTACGGTCATGAATGAATAGAGTTCATTCCCTCCCTAGAAATTCTGACATATGGCCACGTGAGTATAGCTACTGACATGGAAGTCCAACTCCCTGCCTTCTCACATTAAAAGTGTTGTTAACAAATTTGGGAAGATAAAAAGCGAGTGTTTGACCAGAGCTTGAACCGAATCGGTGCGTATAAAGTATCCCTCTACAGTAGTAGGGAAAACTTGATCCCAAACCAACGGTTCATATTGTCTCTCGAATGTTGAGAAAACAAATAGTGCATAAACATATTCTTTGTCAAAGGCTACCATCTGACTGCATCTCTTTACATTTCCACATTGCCTCATGGAGTAAACTATTGGGTCAAATGCTCGGGGTGTGGTCTACTACGAAAATCACTGATTTTGTTTTCGGCAGCCAGGCAGTATCTCAGCCCTGACCGTAACATCTACCTTAAGGTGGTGGACAGACTTGCCTATCGTGATGACTCAACTGAGCTTTATTGGCTCGAACATGTGTTCCTTTAGGTTTTATCACGCGACGCAGGTCGATCGGAGAACGGTAAAACTAAAAGCAGTAACTCAAGTTCTGGGGGCGAAGTCGTACTACTGACTGTAGACGGATGTGACAGCAGTTATAAGTGTTTCTCTCGGACAACCAACATTTGCAGAGATACTGCCTTCTCACAAGGAAGGAAAGGGGTAGAAAAAGTCGACGTTAAAAATGTTACACTTTACCTTACCCCATGGATTTCCGTGTCCAGCGATTAGAGCAACCCAATAAGAGCTTTAAAAGAGCGGAGCTAATACTCAAAAGCCTTTCATAAAAAAGACGTGCGTGACCGGCCTGAAGCAGTTGTCCCCTGGGCTCTGCGGTCACCCTTCCAGGTCTCTAAGACCAACACTAATCTACCTTCTTTTTAAGGTCGCTGAAGAAACACCCTTCCACGGCGTAGGCAGCCTGGAAGTGACATCCGCCCTCATGACCGTAACAGCACACGAGACCAAGTCAATCACAATCAAATCCTTCCAACACTTGCTAATAACTCTCTTAACTCCAGTGCTGTTCTCAGCCCACCTCATCACAAATCTTTGCGACGTATATATATAATTAGGTACACCTTTGTACCGAATTTTATGTGTTTAAATAAAAATGATTGACAACAAATATCCAATAAAATCAACTTATTTCTTAAATATTATACACACACACACAAGTATACTCTTTGAAATTGATAATAAATGTATTTACCAACCTTTTCTAATGTTTTACTAGTAGTTAAACCAAATCGTTCAGCACGTTTTTTCAACTTTTCAAGTTCATCCAATTTTGAAGTGTTATTTAACGAAACAGTGCTTACATCATTACTAATCGGTAAACCAAAACGTTTAGCACGAGCTAATGTTTTCTCATCATCTGACATAAAACGTTTTGTACGACAAATTAGCCGCTGTTAGAAAAAAAAGAAAAGAGCATAAAAAAACGATAAACACGCAAATGAATAGATCTTTTTCTTTCCAAGCAATTTCAGATGTCTGTGTTTTTGAAATTAAAATCCGAGTAAGAGTAGAAGATGTTCGTAGGTTACTAGTATTCGATCATCGATGTCTCCGAAGCATTGCTCGTATATCGTGGGACAACCGAGTAAGCAATGCTGTCGTTAGGAAACGAGTTCTAGGTAACGATGGCAGATCAATAGGTGAGTGGTGAAACTTCATCAGTTGAAGTGGTTGGGACATCTGTTACGTATGGCTAACCACCGACTACCTCGACGAGCTATGTTTTCCAGTGTAGGAGTAGATTGGAAGAAAGCTAGGGGCGGACAAACCAAAACATGGCACAAATCCATGAAGTTATTGACGAGTGGACTTAGCCATGTCGGTAACTGTCGACTACCTGGTTGGGGTCCGCGAGACGAAAGTCACCGATGGTTAGAGACCTTGAACGACATGGCTCAAAATCGTTTGCAATGGGGCAGATGCATCCATTCGTTGTGCTCTCTCAAATCCTAATCTTCTGGAATCGTCAGCACCTCTACCTTTGTCTTTCTAACCTTATCTCACTGAATTATACTTCTTGAATAATATCTTCAAACCCTAGTCTTTTTCAATACCATTAATATCTCTTCTATCTTTATCACTATGGGATTTGATTTGACATTTGCGTCTCTGTGCTAATGTGGTATGGCAACATGAACTTATGTACATACGTACGCAGTTCTACGTTGCAACTGACTGACTGAGTTCTATAAAAAAACTCATAATATGTGATAGTTGCGCTCAGACATTATACATAACAACACTTGGTCAGTGGAAAAGTAGAACCTGGTACGTATGTACATCAGTTGAAATTGCCATATCACATAAACATAAAAAGATGAAATTGTCAGTACATAATATCCCAGAGTAGTAGGGGTAGTAGTAGCAGTATTGCTGGTAATGAAAAAGATCAAGGACCAGAAAAATACAAACCAGTGAAATAAATTTTAAAAAAGGTCATGAGCAATTTAGGAGACTAAAATGTAGGAGAGGACAAAATATGGATGCAACTGCGCCATTGCAAACGACTGTGAGCTGTGTCATTCAGATTCTCTAATCACCGGTTACGACCCCAACCACGCAGTCTAGATTTACAAACATGACTCAGTACTATTTTGCCCTTAACTTCAAGGTTTGATGCCATGCTTTAGTCTGGCTGCTCCTAGCTTTCTTTCAGGCTACTCTTACATGACAGGGTAGCCCATCAAAATAGTCGGTGGTTGTGCATACGCAACGGATATCCTATTCAACTCAGATTAAGATGCACTACTTCACCAACCGATTTTCCATCCTTACACAGCAACCCCCGAGGTTGTACGAAACCTACGATTGATCAAAGTGAGACATTAACACCGTTGGAGGCTAATCGGGTCAGTGGTCTAGAGGTTAAGCGTTTGCGTGCAAGATCGAAGGTCCTGGGTCCGACTCCCGCGAGTGGGAGTCGTACACGCCCACTGCTGAAGAGTCCCACATTAGGATGAAACAGCTGTTCAGTGCTTCCAGGTTTCTAATGGTGATCTAACAATGATTTATTCATAATTTCAATGTAATCAGTATAGTTTAAAACCAAGTACATACATACATACATTTAGTGACATTAAACTAATTGAAATATTTTTACCTCAGAATCTGATATATTAGTTATTTCTTCTTTAGCATTCACATGTGTATCATCAGTTGTATGCGTAATTTTTAAAACTTTCTCACCAGTAGTCATTGTATCTTTTTCAGGTGTCAATTCACTAGCTGGACGTTTACGTGCTACAGTTTTAGTTGCAGAAGTGACTGAGAAGTTAAGGCTACTTGGAGAAGATGTATCACCATTGGTACAATCCATTGCTGATGCTGTAGTAGTAGTTGTTGTTGTTGTTGTTGTAGAATGCGATAGATTCACATGATTGGAATCACCATCTTCATCATCTCCAAGTAGTTCTGCTTCATCTCCAGGTTGTAATAAGACAAATTTATTGCCTGTAAGGAAAAAAACATGAAGAGATAGTCACAGGTATTGTAGACAATAATGACTACAGAAAAAACAAAACACACTGTGTGTGTGTGTCTCAATCAGACCTAATATACGACAACAAATGCTCATTGTGTGGTAACGATAGTCAAGTAAATTGAGTACCAATGATTATAATTGTCTATTCAACTATGGAGTCATACTTTTGTGACGTTACACAATTACTCAAACTACTGAAGTAGGTGTAAAGTGATTTGAACCTGCGAATTATCTGTAGTGGATTTATGAAGACCTGTCGTTCAGAAAATCATAGCAACATAACAAAGATATGTGATTGAATATGGCTTTGTGTTGTGATTACTATACCTGAATATGTGTTACATACAACAATCAATAACTGAAGATCAAAATAAACAAGTGTAAAGAATCATGAAAACTGATTTTGAAAACGGTATATGATGAAGACTATTATAAAAGTTGAACTAAGAATTTTCATACTGCTTGAGAAAATAAATGGGATAGAAAAGTGTCTGGAAATGGCATAAACCTCATGATGTTTAGTGTCGTAAAAGATTACTGACCTGATAGAGATGGTTAATAAGGCTTTCTTCATCAAAATATAGGTATCATTATATTCCTACAGTAGACGGTAGGAAACGACGGATGTAATAATTTGAAATACATTTCATACAGCCACTTATGATCTTTAAACCTTTCATCATTCATTAATAAATTGAATGAAAGGTTCATAAATGCTACCAGATAGCTGTAAAAGTTGGGATAATAGTCTCAGATCACAGAGATCAGTAGATTCCGATTAATATCACTAAAAATGTCATTTCAAACGGATTATTATAGAAATTGTGGAAATCAACTATCGTTTTCACTTAAACTACTTTTAGGTGTTGAAGATCCAAATGGCACTTTTATATACTGAAGTCTAAAATTGTCTAGAACATACGAATTTGTATTTTTGAAACCAATGAAAAAGCTTTCTAAGACAACAAGCTTTGTTGTTCAGTTTTCAAGAAGAACAAGGATATCATGATTTTGGATAGATGCATACATTAATATTGTTAGAGGATGACTCAACTTCAAATCAGCAATGCGATGTGGATAAAACAACGGAAAAGTTGATAAGTTCGCAGAATATTTTACAGAAAATGTCCAGTAGGATTTTAACGAGATCAACTAGTGAATCGAAACTACCATGAGCCAAAAGTGATGTATTTATAGCTAAGTTGATAAAAAGCACTCCTAAGTTTAAAGAGGTATTACGGTAAAAATAGTCATCATAATGACCCTATCGAAAACCTAGAATTCTGTACTTATACGTTTCAAAGTCACAATGTTAAGATAACTGAATACAACGGTAGATCGTATAATGCTCATGCGTTAAAAAACACTACTTAGGTAGGGATTTCATTAAAAATTTGACATTTAGTTATATATTTGACAATTAATATACGTGCCGAAATTAAGTTCAGACTATCCAGCTAGTAAAATAAGTTAAAAAGCATTGAACAAATAAATATTTCGAAATTCTATCTTTATAGAATGGCCTAAAATGAAAATTATTGAGTAAAAAATGTTGACTGGCATAGCAGACTGAAACGAAAGTAAAGGAAGGTTAAATAAAATGGCACGAGTTTATGAAGACATTGATCAATGATCCAAGCGGTGAAAGGGTGAATACAGACTTTGTGTATTTGAAATTTGAATGATTGCTTCAATTTCTGACTAGAGACTAATATATGAAATCGGTTGTAACAATGCAGGTGTTATCAGACAATCAGTGAAAAAATTAATCATAACCTTTACATGTACATACAAAACAAATATGATAAACCTACCGTGCATTTCTGCTATACGTGATATAAGTTCAACTTTTGTTCCTGTAGATGGTAGTTTATTTTCTTTGCATAGTTTTTTCAAGTCACTTAACTAAATTATCGATTGAAATTATTTTTGAATAAATGACATTTATACCTTTAATTTGTGTAATTCTTCAACACTTGGTAAAGACTGTGACATTTTATAAGAGAAATAATTGAATTGTTACGAGAAGTTAACAAAACTTCCAAAAGAGATACAAAATCTCTTAAGTAGGAACAAAAACTGCCAAAAAAAACAGAAATACAAATGTACATTAAGAAAATATGAAGGAGTGAGTATTTTAATAACGCATATTGAACATGAAACACTTGGGGGATCTGTCTGAAGTTGAAATAAATTGTAATTATCAAGATATGACCCGTAACAATAACAGTAGAATCCCATATTTACATACTTTCTTGTAAAAACTTTTACTCTCCTTATAGTCTTGCTTTGCCAGAACCCATAATTGCTCACAAGTTGAATAACGTTCAGCAGGTAGCTTTTTCATTCAACTTATGGAGTGAATACACTTAGTACTTCAGTATGCTAGGATATATATTTGAACAATTTACTATCACATAAGTCTGGGTAGAGATTTCAAGAGACAATATCAAATTTGTAGGCATCTTCTTTAGGCGATAGTCCATTTTCATCAGATAAAACTTTTTTATAGGTACATTTCACGCAAGTGAAAGATGAAAGTATATTCTACTCGCTTAATTAGTAAATAGTTGATGAGACAACATGTTATCTGAACAAAACTACTTGTATTAGTTTTCGCATCTACAGACTAGGACACATAAACAGATTGGCTAACCAATTACATGTGAACGCTGTATGGAGATCTCTATAGGCTCCGAAGTCTTAGAAAACTACTGAAATACTTGTAAAAGTTTATAACAGAAATATATGAATAGAAATATGAACGAATACCTGAACAACATAGTGTCCCATTAGCAGATACAAAAACCTGCTGGTAAATTGTGTCAGACCTACCTGGTATGTAACGCAGATGATGTTGTAGCGCTCACGTTTTAAAATTCGCGCATACAATATCCAATATCTTCTGTACTGGCTAGTATAAACTAATTGATTTATTTGTGCTTGATTCTTGTTCCCCCGGGTATTTGATGACATTTTTATCAAGAGCTAGCATAAAACGATTGACTGCTTTACACTCCTTTCTTGTGGTTTCAGAACGTTTCTATGCATTTGATGATGTCAAACGGGCGGTATACTAGCCACTCAGCTGGATAGTTCCGGAAAATTTCGTAGTTTTTTATTCAGTTTTATTTCTCTCAATTCGGCTGAGTAGGTTTTCTCAGGTTTGTAGCGGATCTGAACACCATCAGCCATCTTGTGTACACGCCTAGGGAATGATCTTGTTTTTGGTGATGACTTAATTTCAGAAAGAACTTGGTTGCAGCTAGTAATCATACAGTTTACTGTGATACAGGTCACCCGATCAGATGGTTTGATATGCATCCCTCACAACAACCAGTCTTACCCTTCCCGACATGCTGATCAGCTACCGAATAGATTATCATTTGTGCCCACGCGAGCTGTGAATAAATGTATCAAGGGGTAACTAGATGTAGCTTATCGCTATAACAGAAATGATAAATTAAAATTTCCCCTGTGTTTTTTTTGTTTTATAGCCTTCCTCTTTTCCTTTGACCTGGAGGGTTACATGTAAAGGCTCGACTTGTAACGCAGTTGGGTGCAAACCGCTATGTGCGTCCTATCGCCAGCTCTTATTCCTGAATTATTGCTCAGATGAAATCTTGTATACTCTTTCCCACAGCAGGTTGCTGCTCATGGTGTCTGGCCAATGAATGCGAAGTATTTTGCCAATCCGCGCCTTCACATCTGCATCGGATCCACCTTGCACGTCGATGATGCTGCCCAGATATGTAAAAGTGTTAACATCCACCATGGCATCTCCATCAAGAGTGATTTGGTTGATGCATGTTGTGTAGCGTCGAAGAATTTTGCTTTTTCCTTTATGTATGCTGAGACCTACTGCTGCAGAGGCTGCTGCTACACTGGTCGTCTTCTCTTGCATTTGTTTTTGCGTGTGCGATAGAAGAGCCAAGTCATCTGCGAAGTTCAGATCGTCCAGCTGCGTCCTAACTGTCCAGTTGATACCGTGCTTCCCTCCAGATGTCGACGTCTTCATAATCCAGTCGATGACCAGGAGAAAGAGAAAGGATGAGAGTAAGCAACCTTGCCCGACACCGGTCTTCACCTCGAAAGAGTCTGTTAGCTGTCCTTTGTGCACAATTTTGCAGTTGAATCCATCATAAGAATTCCGTATGATATTGACTATATTCTCAATAATAATAATAATAATAATAATAATAATTTATTTGAGAATAAATTATTATTATCAACCACGCCGTAGTGTCGAAAAAACATCCACAGTGTTTTCTTGTCCACGCTATCACATGCTTTCTCGTAGTCGATGAAGTTGATGTAGAGTGGTGAGTCCCATTCCATTAATTGTTCCACAATGATCCGTAATGTTGTAATTTGGTCAGTACACGATGGATCCTTACGAAATCCGGCCTGTTGATCACGAAGTTGGACGTCTACGAAGGAAGTCCTTCAATCTGTTTAACAATACCCTGTTGAAGACTTTGCCTGGTATTGAGAGATGAGTGATGCCTCTGTAGTTCTTACACTTACTGAGATCGCCTTTCTTTGGTATTTTGATCAGGTATCCTTCTTTCCAGTTGGATGGTACTTGTTCTTCATCCCAAAGCTTGTTTAAGAGAATGTGAGATAATTTTACAGTTGCTTCCGTGTCTGCTTTCATTGAATCTGCTGGAATGTTGTCTGGTCCTGCTGCTTTGCCGTTCTTGATTTGTCTGATGGCCATACTGATCTCCTCAATCGTAGGTGCGCCAATATTAATTGGGAGGTCCGTGGATGCTGCTTAGATGTTGGGTGGATTCAGTGGCGCTAGTCGATTCAAGAGTTCCTTAAAGTGTCTTACTCACCTGTTTCGCTGTTGTTCAGTGTTTCTGATTACCTTGCCTTCCTTGCTTTTCACTGGTCGTTCTGGTTTACGATAGTTTCCGGCCAGCTTCTTTGTTGTTTCGTACAATTGTCTCAAATTTCCGTGTCTTGCAGCCTTTTCCGCCGTCATTGCTAGATCTTCCACATATTTTCGTTTGTCAGCTCTGGTGCTCTTCTTCACTTCCCTGTTTGCTTCTGGGTATGCAGCTTGTGCAGTAACTTTCTCTGCTCTTGTTCGGCTGACATTGATTGCTGCCTTCTTGTTCCTCCTTTCTTGAATTTTTGCAAGAGTATCAACAGAGATCCATTCCTTATGATGGTACCTCTTGTGACCCAGAACTTCGTGGCATGTTGGAGTGATTGCTTCTTTAATCCCTTTCCAATTGTTCTCCAATGTTGCGTCCTCTCCACTGAGTATATCGTGCAAGGTCTGGAACCTGTTAGTGAGGGCTATCTTGAATTCGTTGAGTTTTACGGTATCCCGAAGTAAGGCTGTATTGAACTTGTGTGATGTTATCTGCCCCGTTTTCCAGTGTTTCTTGAGTTTCAGTTTATTTTTAGCGACCAAAAAGTGGTGATCTGATTCTATATCAGCTCCTCTTTTTGTTCTCACATCCTCCATGTTCCTTCTGAACGTTTTGTTGATACAGATATGGTGTATTTGGTTTTGAGTAGTGTGATCCGGTCAAATGCATGTGGCTTTGTGTATGCGTTTGTGTGGGAATATTGTGCCACCGATGACCAGTTTGTTGAAGGCACATAGGTTTGCAAATCTCTCACCGTTTTCGTTCCATTCTCCCAGTCCATGTCGTCCCATGATGTCTTCATATCCAGTGTTGCCCATGCCAACTTTTGCATCCAAGGTCTCCCATGAGAATCGTCAAATCCTTTGGTGAGCATCTGTCGACGATTGACTGCAGCCTTTCATAGAATTGATCTTTAACGTCCTAATGACCGAGGAATAGCATCATTTCTCCTGAGTCTATTCGTAGTTGTCCTACCTGTGTCCAATGCGTTTCACTGATCCCAAGCACCTCGAGGATGTATCTTTTTAGTTCTGCCGCAACTTGGAATAGTCTTCCAGTCTATCAAGTTGTTCGAGCATTCGATACACCTAAGAGTACGACTGCTCTGGTTGTAAGACGGGACATCGGCCTTATGACTTTCGAAGGAAATCGGCTTTTATTATGAGACATCATAACTCTTTTGAAAGAAGACATTATAACTCCCAGCATAGATTTACAGTGGTCTGAATTATTTTTTTCTTTTAAGTGTCTTTCAGCGAGTTTTTTTTATACCGGATTGGATCGCCAACCTCAAGCCCTACCATCCTCCTTTATCTGGGCTTGGGAACGGCAGTAGAGTTCGGTCTTCGGGCAATGAGCATTAATTTTTTTGGTCATCCATTTCTCTGTTTGGTGAGCTATTTTATGCTCTCAAAGCCCAATCCCGTAAGGCAGGTGCTCTAGTGCTTAAAGGCTTTAATAATTCTGATATAATTTTGTTCTTCATTATTTTCCAGCTCTAAATGTGACCCTGCAGTTGTAGACTTTGATTTTAATATCAATAAGTACATGTCCGTTAAAGGCGGACAGTAATGTAAATGCAAACACACAAGAATTCTTACATTTAGAATCCCTAATAGACTGAATAATCGAACCGAAATGCCCCATCGAAATGACGAATCGTTGATATCTCCAGCTAACTCTTTGGTCAAACTCTTGAAGTGGTAGTTGTGATATCTCCTAAACCAACTCACTGTTGTGGGCTTTAGTGCCTGAGAGGAGGCTAGTACACCCCTCCAATCAACTACGTTTCGCTATTCGTGTTGAAACATCATCAACATATGTCTGCTACACCGGTTAGTTAGGTACTATGAAGTGTTACAGCCTTTGCTTATACTACAGCGTGCGAAGAGTGCAGTACCTTACAAGCTAAACCCGTCAACCTCATTGTCGGCGGATAGCCATGTTTCAGTTAAGATTATGACCTTCAGATTCATCTGAGGGTACAGATTCCTCGTCACCTACAATTAACCTCTCTGTTCTCTTACGTAACTAAAGAGGCACTTGGTGGTTTGGCTGATGGCTTCTGCAGCAACAACAGTTCTCGGACTACTAAATGAATTGATGTTTTTTGCTTGTATAGAGTATTTATTTCTGAGGACCTCAGTCTTCTCATCTTGTACCGTTGTTTGTCGATCGAGGTCAGCCGACATGAATTTGTGCTCACGTTGTCTTTTCAGTTGTTACATTACTCATTTGAACTGATTCTCATGGAATATAAGGCAGCAAGAAAAATCTAACCCAATGCTGTACCAAGGCTGAAGCGTCTCACTTGGGACTTCTTGCTTTCCGAAGTTCACAGCCATCAGATGCGATCACGCAATAGTTTTGAGACGGACGAGGCATCCAGCAAAACACTGACTGCTATGATGACGTGAAGGCCTATACAGCGTGACGGCCACCGCGATTAGTGAATATCATATGAATGAGCTTTGTCTGAGCTACCACTTACGGCTCCTTACGATATAGCAGGATGTAACAAATCAGTGATATTGATGTTACTTTTCCTTGTTAACCTCGTCTACAACCCATGTCTGTAACCTTGCACTGGTTTTTACTTCCTACCGAGAAATCCTATTACAAGCTGGTCTGGAAAACTATACTAAAAAAGAGCTCATTCATAACTTCTTGAGCCTCAGAGATAAAAATAAAAAGAATAAATAAAACAAAAAAATTATATCACTGATCCTCTTTATTATATTTTGTAAATCAACTTTATTACTAACAACTTGGTTCTTCTGAATTTCCTCGATTCTTTCGACTAACCTCTCATTAGTTATCTCACTACTGAAGTGTCTTCATAAACCTACATAAGCGCAGGTGTAAAGTGTTCTGTTATTAAAAATGTTTGGGTAAACATACCTTTGTTTTATCCATAAACGTATGTGCGAAGCCGTTGTTGGGCTTTGAACATGAATATTTTCTGTTCTGCTCCTCGTCCCGTTTTCTTTATTCCTTTTTTCAGAACCTTATTCCAATCCATATATATTAGTCTGGATATTTGCAGTAGACTTGGTTACCCTACCCAAGAACATGTGAAATCATTAGCTG